ATAGTTAAGTTTGGGGGTTGGATTGTTTCAGTAGGTCGAGTTAATTTTGCCGTTAGACCTATGATGAAGAGGTCATTACTGGAAATATAATGAGTTCAGAAAAAATTGGATGAATTAAAAAATAGAAATAAGATCTATGAATATTTTAACTTACCTTCTCCAACTATTACAATGACACAACGAAGCTCAGACTGATACACAGAACTGGAGTTACTGAGGAAGTATTTTAAAAGATTACATGTATAACTGACAAAAAATGAACAGAGTCATAAAGCCACAAAAATGTTAAAACACAACGACATGAATGATATGCATAAATGTTAACACTGAAATGGTAATTGGTCTATAAGTTTGTAGTTTTTATTTTCACAAGAATCAATTAATTTCATAATGGAAAATGGAAACAAAAAAAGTATCATGTCTTAAAATGTCAGAAATACTGACATATGATTCATATGGGTATTAGCGACCAAATCTTTGTTGCTTTGACACGAGAAAAAGTTTAACTTGCTCTCTCTGAATTACTTTTTTTCCACAACCGGAGAGTGACAAATCCTTGCTAATATGAAACATTTCATTAAGTTGTTTTAACAATTGGAAGCTACTGCAGTTGACAAGACTGAATTAACTAATCCAACTTAAAACATGTTACCTTCCATTCTTGAAAGTTGATTTCATATTTGAGAATTCCTTAAATGTTACTGACATTATGAAATTAATCGGGTGAAAAGATAGAAACTGACCTCGCCTGAATGATAAAGCAGATGGGGTGGCTTTCTCCATATTCAGTTGTAGAGGGTGTCCAGGACAGAGAAAAGTTTCCTGATCCCAATGAATTCTTAACTGCATTGTATGGTCCGCTGAAAAGTAGCTCAGTTGACCTTAAAGAAACAGGAAATAAAGATTTTAAATAGAAAATGATTTAAAAATTCTTAATCTACTAATGGAGCAATTTCCTGTTTCTGTCATTGTTTCAACATTATGTAAAATGTCCAAATAGGCATAAAACATTTCTTTACAATGAATAAGGATATAATTCTCATTGGGTGGCATGACTTATAATTGTGATAATTATTTTTTTTTAAACTCCCACTTACATGTAATGAGTTGCCTCCCCTTTGATAGGGATTACCAGAATCTGATTTACAGAGCTGTAGAGCTTTACTCCGTTCTTTGGAGTTGGACTCACAAACCTGGGCAGATAGAGGCCTTCTATACAAGATGGTGCTGCAGAATCCACTGAAACAATACAGGGAGGCCACAAAGACAGCCATTATGAAAAACACTTGAAAGGGAAATGTAGATTTATATGTGTGGTAGTCTGTGTGTAATGATATTGATCAACAGATACAGCCACTGTCAGCTTGGTTTCGTTCTTGGAAGCATCTCCAATAATCAAATTTGCATCTGGTATATCTATATTAAAAATAAAATGATAATGCTATCCAACAAAACAAACATCCACCCATTCATCTTCTCCCGCTTATTCCATCACGGTCACAGTGGGGCCTTTACCTATCTATGGGCAGTCTATCGGCGAAAGGTATGGTACATCCTGGACAGGTCGCCAGTATGTCACAGGATAACAAACAAAATATTAAAGTTTAAAACAAAACAAAAAACAACCCAAAAAAAAAAAAAATTCACCCAACTTTATGTTGTGCATGCCAACAAATCAAAAAACACCTAAATATTTGCTTTGGCTGCTGTAATTCTCGCCTTTACTCAGTATCACTAAGATATTAATCTAATAAATAATTATTTATCAATCAAGCAGAGAGGGCAGAGACAGCCATGCAACGAGCTGCTAAGCACAGCATTGGATGGAGCGCAAAGTGCAGACACAGACAAGATATATTTCTGCACAAACGCAAATAGCAGAACAGTTTTTCAGAGTTGACCACGCATCAGGCACATATTGAATGTGTTTGTGTGAGATTTAAATATTACTCCTCTGTCTGACCAAGGTTTCAGACTGTTAACTGTGCGCTGAAGTTGGTGGCACAAAATAGCACAAAGCAGGTCTGCTCCGAACTGTGTATCTCCCCTAATTCCTTTACTTGTACCTAGTACAGGATCCAGTATTTGTTTTAATCCAAAGATTGAAAACAGATACATTTTTTCCTGAATGGTCTCTTAGATCCTTTCACCAAACTATCAGGAATGTGTCTAGAGGTTAAATATGTAAATATGACACCATGCATTTCAATGTTTCCTCTATGTTTTACTGCAAATGGTCTAAACCAGTGAACTCCAACATAGGTGAATGGTTAATCAGTCTTTGTTGTATATAAAGACAAGTTTGCCCTATGTTATTTTCCAAGTGAAGGATTTATTCAACAACACACAACGCATTGTCATAATGTTTCTCATTGGCACTGTGACAGAGTAGACTCCAGTATCTTGTCGGTGTCATACAATGACGCACATGTATAGGATTAGAGTCTTAGCAAGAATAACAGTGTTTTACATCCGGCATCTTTGTCCTGCTTAGCCATCCATGTACTCTCAACACATTGTCTTTCACAATAGGATTATCTTTACAAATATTACTGGTCCTCTTAATCTTTGTTATTTTTGTTAAACAAACAAAACAAAAGATCAAAACTCCTTGCCTTCTTATTTTTCAAGTCTTGAACAAAATCCTAAGAATAATCTTTAATCTGTATCTTTCTTCTAATGTGAAATAGTGGTAGTTCTTTCTGAATCAATACATTTCCTTTTAAGATTGAAAGAACACAACAACTTGATCAATTTCTTGCCATGTTTGAGCAGCGCTTACAGTTAGCTTAATTTATAAATCACAGTTCTAGATTTATTTTTTTAAAGCAACATCTAATTTGGAACTCTTCAACTAATGATTATCCTGCATCAAAATATTCTACTTCTACATGACTGCATCTGGTATTGTGTCAGTCCATCCCATATTTATGTGATACCACTTTTGCATAATCTTCAAAGTAAGCAAGATTGGTTGTGCCAAAATTGCCATTGGCTTCAACCATACTGAACCGCCTCATGAACTACCGTTCAGATTAATTCCTATGTTCCACATGACACTTGATTTGGATGCACTCAGCATAAGGATGATGGAGCCAATGTTGTGTCTGTAGAAGCATGGATAAATAGGACAGTTGTCTGCTCCACAACAGACTGCACTACAAGCTCATGTTG